TGACTACCCCCTCCCCCTGACCAACCCCCCTTCCCTCCCCCCCAAGAACGAGTATAAAAGGACTAGCGCAACGCGAGGAAGCTCAGTATCAGAGTCTCCCAGCCCTGATGAAGCAGACTGCAACGCCTGCGAAACGTCGGCACCACACTGCAAACGGACGCGGCAACCATCCGGAAGCCATGACGACTAAAGCAAATTTGTTAAAGTTGGATGTGTCCAAACGGAACGTGATGAAAGAGAAGTCTGTAATAGTGATAAATCTAAGTTCTCTTTTTCAAAATATCTCCGCACATCTTGTTGTAAAGGTCTCTCTGTTTTCTTAAGTATTTCTTCAATGTTTTCATATAGTTTTCAAATTTAAAGGCACTAAAGTTATCAAGCGGGCCAAATATTTTGACGTCATCAACAAGATGTACAAAACTGTGAATATTATGTGACATATTCTCAATGCCATATAATTTCTTAAATGTTTTAATGAAGAAAAGTATCAAATCTTGTCCATAATTTAAGTATTGGTTTAAATCAGATGAAGAAAAAATGCGAATAATCACATGTAATGTTATAAAGTTGGTGTACACATCTTTTTTAATACCGATTTGAAAGTCAATGGACCTGTGTATAATAATATCAGTCGGTATTCCGTAGCTTTCCATAATTTCACACAATTAAGTGCTCGTGGCTTTCTTGCAAATTCTACAGATATTGCAGGCTGCAGCAGTGTTATTAAATGTGTAGAAATTTTTTCGACAGCTCTATGTTGTAATCGATAATACAATTTTCCATTAAGCCATTTTATTAATTTGCGCATAATTCCCAAGAACACCAAGTGCATATAATCTAAGGGAAGATTTGTAACAGGCTTAAAATGTGGTATTTCTATTAAACTGCAAGTGATATCTGGCTTGTGGTAATTATCATCAGTCTTTCGAATAAAATCGTCATCCGTTCGAGGTGGTGCATCGATTTGTGGGAAACATATTCGATTTCCTACATAATTTCCTTCTGTTTGACACTTGGTACAACTCGAATAACCAGAATGTCCCTTTACGCACAGAACGAATGCTTTTGCAGGAGTATCACAAATTAAAGCCTCAAGCCTGCATTTTATGTTACGACCATTAATGTCAAGACCATTTTCGCACACATCTTTAGCCTCGTCAACAAATTGCTTTAAAAAATCATTGGCATTTGTCGGTTTTTCGTATCCATGATACAGACCAATAAGAAAGACATTATCATATCCAAGCATTGAGCCTAATATGGGCCAAAATTGTTGTGATGACGATCTCGATAGTGGCAATCCATCAATATTGATAGTTATTTTCACAAAATCAATATTATCCTGTACAGATGTCAATACGTTTAATAAAGAATTTCGTAATCCAAAATGGAAGTATGTTCCTGGTGTTACTGTGCGTATCTCTTGGTGTCTTGGAGTTTTTAGAAGTGTTCGTGCATCTATCGACAACTTCGAAAAACAAGAATGTTGTTTTAATATCTGAAGCAATGCTCTGAGAGCAGTATGTGAGATTTGATGTTCTACAGCCCAGACAGCAAGGATATCTTTAAAATCGCTAGCTGTATTTTCAGATGCCACGTTAAGTATTGAGTTACAAGAACTGCTTATAGAAGACTGTTCTAAATCCGATTTGTTTAATCCAAAACATTCGTCATTTTCATATATTATAGGTATATTAGTATTATTTTCACTTACATGTGTCTCTTCAGATGTATCTACTATACATATGTGAATTAATTGTGCACTCATTATCCAAATGTGAATATTCATCATTATTGCTATGTAGTGGTACACCTGTGTTTAATAAACTCTCATAAATAACTTCTGATTCTTGAGCAGCTAATTGACGTAAATATCGTTTCGATACACACGATATGTCTTTTCTGGGCTGATGTCGCTTCATTGCAATTTCTGTTAAATAATTTTATGACATTAATTACTATTATTTAAGTGCCAAAAGAAAGAGACACCAAGTAATAAAATTTTCAGTTTTATTATATTTTACTATTAGTTGGTAATATACCGTTTTATAAATTTTCAATTATATTTTTAATTAGATTATTATATATATAATTACTATAAATTTTATTGAGATAGCACATATTGAATACTCTAAAAATGTAGACAATGTTTAAACAATTTTAATTATACGCACATGCAAGTACGCGAATGCTTGCGTGAGTGCGTGTCCACCCACCCGATATACATATAAATATTAATTTTTTACTATGAATGACTAAATAAGTAAAAAAATGTTTCAATGTTTTTGCAAAGAAATAAAATTATTATTAAGGGGTCATTCCACTTTAACGGCTCAAAAGATACATTCATCTTTAACAATTTATTTCACAGTAACTACACCATACAATGAAATAAATATTTTTGGGACTTATTAGGGCACTCTTAAATAACAAAAAAATTGTCATAATTTAAACAAATTTTTAATTAAGCGTTTTCTACACCGTTCGAATGACGTGTCAAAAAAGATGCAAGTCCACTACGTTGATGACTTATTCAGGCTTACCTGAAACACAAATCAACAAAATTCTTAATCTATATGAGTGTCGCTATGTCCCGAGCCTCAGTTAAGAATTTTTGTTAAAAAATAATAAAATGGTGCCAGTTTGGAAAAAAGTTTCGAAAAGTACTTTTTGTTAAACTGGCACTATTTTGTTATTTTTTAATAAAAATTCTTAAGCGGTATCCCCAGGTGTCAGAGCGACCTCCTGATCACCTCCCAGGGGAGGATGTTGAATGCGTTGGAGATGTCCAACGACACCGCCAGCATCACCCCCCCCCCTGAGAAGTCACCTCGTCCGAGAGGGCCCGGACGCGACTAATCGCATCCATAGTCGATAGGCCCTCTCGGAATCCGTATTGGGCCCCGTTGACGTTGGGGCCCACGTGGGACAGGTGCTGGACGATCCGGCTCGCGATGATACGCTCAAAGAGCTTGCCGGATTCGTCCAGAAGGCATATTGGACGATACGCCGACGGCACGGATGCGTCCTTCCCCTCCTTTTGGAGGAGCACCAACGTGGCGCTCCTCCACTGCAGGGGGAGGACCCTCTCCGGAGGCATGCGCTATACAGTCGCGCGTAGTGCTCCGCAAGGACGCCCATCGCCAAGGCGTGGACCTTCTTGTGAAGGCCGTCGGGGCCAGGGGCCGTGTTGCCCCTTAGTCCCCTTTTGACGGCCTTCCGGAGTTCATCCGGCTGGATGTCGAGGGAGTCGTCCCAGTCCGGGGATTCTTCCCCAGACAATGAGGGTGGGCCCTCCTCCCCGTCATCGTCGGGGAAGAGGGTGCGCACCACCCTCTGTACGAATCCCGCGTCCAGCCGCTCCGTTAGAGGGGGCGCCCATGGCCTCAACTTATTGAGGACCATCCTATATGGGCGCCCCCACGGATCTTCATTTAGGGAGTCGATGAACTCCGTCCACGCCCGGCCCTTAGCCTTCTTGATGGCCTTGCGGAGGGCCACCTTGGCCGCCAGGTAGCCCTCCTTTGCCCTTTCGGCCGCCTGCCCGCCCTTGCGCGCGTGGCGGGCGGATACTCGCTGCTGGTGGACGGCTTGCCGGCGTAGCTCGGCAATTTCTTCCGTCCACCAGTGGACCGCCCGCCGAGGCCGAGTTTTCGATCGGGGCATAGCGGCGTTACACGCCGCCGCTAATGCTGTCCCGATCCACTCGGCCTCTTGTTGGGGGTCCGTATCGCGGGTCTCGGGGACAGCCCCCAGGACCCAACAGGCAGCCTCAAGGGAGGCCGTCAGGGCGTCCTCGCAGAGCCTCTTAATGGCCCATCGCGGTCATGTCTCTCGGCGGCGCCCACCGCGAGGGCACCGAGCTCCACCGAAATCCAGCGGTGGTCCGATAACGCGAGCCCGGCGTCCCCGGTCACCCTCCACCCGGTGACATGGCGCGCCGCGGAGGGGGTAGCCCATGTCAAATCGACGATGGACTCCCCCTGCGCGCGCACGCGGAGACCCGGCCCCGATTTAACAGGACCAGGCCGAGCGCCGCTCCCCAATTCTCCAGAGCCCTCCCTCTGGCATTGGTTCGCCGGAAACTCTACGCCACGTTGTGGGCGTTAAAGTCCCCGGCGACGAGGACCGGCTCACGGCCGAACCGTTTGACCGTCTGTTCGACGTCGGCCAGCCAGTCCTCGTAGAGGGAGAGGTTCTTATCTGGGCGGAGATACACTCCCACGACCACGATGGGCCCCCAACGCACGGCGACGTGTCTGTCGCCGCGCTCCAATGCGGTCGTGGTGGGAAAGCCCTGCCACGACCGCCAACATATCGCCGCCGTTCGCTCCAACCGCGTCCCCAGCCACTCAGGGTGGTCCGGGGGAACGCGGCCGGGCTCGGCAATTACTGCCAGGGTGTGACCACTCTCCCGGATGTCCTGCATCAGCAGGTCTTGCGCCCTGGGAGAGCGGTTCACATTAGCCTGGGTTAGGCCGTATCCCCTTAGCCCAGGCGTAGGGGGTCCCGGCATTACGGGGTCTTACCCCCCTCCGCCCGGGGGGATGGATCCACGTCCACGGCCTCCGTGGGGTCTGTCACCCCGGAGGTCATCGCTTGCGCCTTTCTCTTAGAGCGGGTGAGGCGCTGCGTGAGGGGGGCTGTTCCCCCTCCTGCACGCCTCTCCCCGCCACCTCCACCTCCATCGCGTCGGTAGGCCTCGACGGTCCGGCCTCCTGGGAAGCCCCTGGTGTAGGCGACCCCTGCCGCGGGCCAGGTGCCCCCCCTTGACTTTTCTCTGGGAGCATTGCTTGGCTCCCAGAGTATGCCCTGCCGGCCTCCCCAGGTCCACGCAAAGTGGGCATTTCTGGGGAGCCCGGCAGTCCCGGGAAGTGTACCCGGTGCCAGCGCACCGGTAGCACCTTCCCGATCTGTCTGCCTCACTGGGGCAGCTCCCGCGCGTGTGTCCCCCCTCGAGGCACTTGAAGCACCTCATCGGGCGTACCTCGAGGAGATCCACCTTCGCGCGGGACCACCCCACCGTTAGGTGGCCCGTCTTGGCCACCTTCTTTGCTGCCGCAAGGGGGAGGCGGAGCCACATGCTCCCCGTTCCCCTGTCGGCCTTTTGGATCCCCTTGTGCTGTATTGACAGGGGATCACACTGGGCCTCCGCCGGGACGGCGGCCACCACCTCCTCTGCCCTAATGGAGGGCGCCAGCCCCCTCACTCGGACCTCTCCCGTTTTAATGGGCCGGTCGACTCGCACGCCTTCCTCGCCCCGTAGGGCCTCCCTTATTCGCGCCGCGAGTCGATCGGCCTTATCCGGGTGTCCCTCCCCGGACACCTCGAATATGGTGGCACCGGTAGCCACCTGCCTAGTGTCTATGCGGCTACCGATGCCCAACTCCTCCAAATTTACTTTGGCGCGCACCTCGGCCACCACCCTGGCATACTGCCCCTGTGGGTATGTCAGGGCTACAGCCGATGTGCGCGGCACTTTCCTTTTCGGGGCCTTTTTCCCAGCCCCTCCCCCCCGTTGGCCCTTTCCAGCGGGCTTCTGGGGGG